AGATTCCTGCAGAATGCGGCGGGAAAAGTGCTTCTTTTCCTGCAGAAGACTTTCACTTCCGGCGTGAAAATGTTTCATTTTTCCCCCAGGAACTTGCGGAATCACGCTCGTTTTTTTTCACTGGGTATACTAACTTATGTCAACCCGAGCTTGCTAATGGAAGATTTATTATTTTTACGAAATGATAAAACTAATGTTTTAATTTTACCTTCACGATGGTATTTTTTGTTCATCTAATTAAAGTAGCAACATCATTTCGCCCGAAAAAAAGTAATTTTATTGAACTCTTCAATAGTTAAGATATATGAATTTAATCCGGATGAATAGATAAAAAAGAGAGTACTTTTAATTTTTTTTTTCTTTCATTCTTATTTTTCGTATACTTTCCATAAACTAATGGAAAATCAAAAACATATAAAGAAAAAACATCGATGCGACTATAGAAAAGATTAAGATATTCATCAAAAAAAAAAAGGCGAATATGAATAGGGACGAGGAGACATGGAAAGTGCTTTGTTCTTGTGATGCTGAAACGGGAAAAACATGTTCCAATATCTATTCAATGTATAAGAGACAAAAAAAACAAGAATACATCGATTCGATGCATATCAGTAACCATTCATGAATATTTGATCATATAAGAGGAGGCGGATGTGCGTGTGTCTTTCAACAAATATGGAATAATTTTGACAACACTCTAAGATCAATATCTTTTGAAAACTCAAATGAACATTAATATTGGCATCTTTAATGGAGCCGATAAATAGATAGCGCCGATTTCGAAAGAAAATCTCGATGAAAATTCTACAAAATACATTAAATTCTTCTTCATTTCTTCTTTTTCTTATTCTAATAATGTCTGTAAATTTTCGCTGATATCACTAAGCCTCTTAATAGGGAACCAATTTAACTGTCAAATCGTTTTTTTAATGAGACCCAGTGGATTATAGATTATCGACTATGCTGATTCCGAATATGACCATGGTAGTTGCTTATAGATCTCCAGAGATCCGTTTTTTGGAAAACCAGTTTTTCAGAAACTAATAACCAAAACTTTTCATAATGAGGCACAATTGTAGTCCGCACATTTCTGATTAAAATGAAACATCTCCCAGCTCTACACGATGTTTCTTTGCAAAGTTATAGAGTTTACAAGAAAAGTCCTAAATGTTCATTGTCAGCTCAAAGCTACAGAGATAAGAAATTAATTTAGGATTTTTCTTGTAAATTCTATAACTTTGCAAAGAAAGATCGTGTAGAGCTAGGAGATATTTCATTTTAATCAGAAATGTGCGGACTACAATAATGTCTGATTATAAAAAGTTTTAGTTATTAGTTTCTGAAAGACTGGTTTTCCAAAACTGGATCTATGGTGATCTATAAGCAACTACCATGGTCATATTCGGAATCAGTATAGTCGATAATCGATAATTCACTAGGTCTCGTTTACGTACAATAGCAATAAATAATGAATAAGATAATCACAGATAATCATATGCAACCATGTAGTTGTATCTAGATGTGGCAAACAGAAAGTCTATGTCAAATGTCTAGAGATCCGACTTCGCAGACCGATTCTTAACAGTCCTATGGGAATAAATGAATATTAAATTTGTGATCAATATCTAAAATAATCCTGAAAATCTATGTATTATTGAAATTGTCATGAATTATTCAGAAAGGCTCTCTCAAGGGTCTAGGGTTCGCGTCACCGTTGATGTATATACAATGTTTTACGAGACCTGTTGCGATCAAGGAGGAACGAACATTAACACATGTTATACAGTATCTTACAATCTATTCAATTATGTGTATTTTTGTAATGTGCTTATAAGAAATGTAAGAAAAATACTTTCTAGTTATCGCTTAGAATCTCTTTAATGAATTGGAAAGGGGCCAATGTAAATACTCAGAATTATTTAGAATATTATAAAAATATTCTTGTACTAAGGACAGACTAAAGCGGGCCAATGTGCACTTAAACGACCTCATCCTTTTATAATTTTTAATGAGCACTCTGTTTTCGATTACAGCGAGAAGAGATATTTATCACCTTGATATATAATCACTTTTGGAACTAATTCAATATAATTTTGTTGTTGTCTAATGTATCATTGTAGTTCTTGATTTTTATTCTTAATATTCAACAAAATGGTATACAAGGTTCAGAGAAGTTCTAGGTCTGTTCGTCCCAATGTTTGCAATATAGTGCAGCATCGTCTATAGAGATCTCGTGCTGCAATTTCTCTTTCATCGTCATTCGCCCCTGGATAAGCATACAATTGTGGAAATAATAATAATTTTTTCAATGTCGTTATATTTGCAAACGCGTGCATTAAATCTAAAAATTCCCAATTTAAGTAGGGAATAAAACTTTTTAATGATAGATATCTTATCGATGTTTGTGATTCGTTAATTGGTTTAAAACATCCAGCTAATTGAACCAATGTTGAAGTATGCAATTGGCAATAGGCTAATGACAATGAAACAAGATTTGGTATTTTTTCAACAATATTTACGATTAAAGTAGAACACATACTAAAATCATTCATGCTTAAATTTAATTCTCGTATATATCGAATATTACGCATTGAATGAATAAATTCAATATCGACTGATGTTAAACGACAATCTTGTAAATTGAGATAGTCTAATGGTTGAATAACGCCGGTAAGCAATGTACGAATATGAGAACGAAGATAGGAATAGGATAAATCTAGTTTTCGTAAATAAATTAAACGACGAAATAAACGATTAAAATCTTGACATAAATCAGTTAGAAAATGAACATGAGTATAACTAAAATGAAGAAAAGATATTTTATTAATCATTATTCTAATAATTAACATACCGTTGTGGATAAAAATTCAATATGCGTTGTAAACATAGTACACGAATATTTCTTAAATTTGATAAACATCGCACAAGTAATGTAAGTTCTTTCTCTGTTGCTTCCATATTTATATCACTTAAATGTAAATGGGTAATAGTCTGAAACAAACAATAGAAATTAATAAGTTTAAATAATTACAAATGATAAATATATACTTCAACATTTGTTAAAAATATAACAGGATTTAGATCAAATGATGTATTAGACATAAGACATTGTTTCAAATAAAATGATATCCATAGTTTACGAAAATGAAAACGAAATGGTGTTAATTGTTGAATTTGTAAACCAAGTAATGTATCTTCGTTAACAATATGACAATCGAAAATAATTTTAATTGGTTCTAAAATATAAGAGAAACATTAAAAATATTGAATAGAAATGAAAATATTTCACAAAAAATAAATAAACTAGATTTCAAATCTTGTAGCATAGAAAAACTTGAACTATCGGGTTAACATGCATTTTTTTTTCTTCTTTAAATGAAATTTAGGATATATTTTTCACTGCACACAAACACATGCTTAGCTCAAACTACCAAAATTTGATTCATGTGAAATAGATTTATCATAGAATTGATAAACATAATTGAAACCATCTAAATATTGTTCAAGTTTTACTTTATCAATACCTGAAATAAATATGTTTAAAATTTAATCTTACAATCAGTTTTTATATCACTTACATATTCCATGTTTCATTTGTGATAATAGACGATTTGATGAACGTCTTGTCGGTGATATCCATAATAATGGCAAACGACACAATTCTTTAGCCATTTGAATACCTAAAGAATTGAACAATAATTTTAGTTAACACACAAACAAACAGTCAATATTTACTTATAGGACAGCCTCCAAAATCAACAATTTTTAGCTTTGATATTCTTGGATGTTTATTAACAATGCCCANCATATTCCATGTTTCATTTGTGATAATAGACGATTTGATGAACGTCTTGTCGGTGATATCCATAATAATGGCAAACGACACAATTCTTTAGCCATTTGAATACCTAAAGAATTGAACAATAATTTTAGTTAACACACAAACAAACAGTCAATATTTACTTATAGGACAGCCTCCAAAATCAACAATTTTTAGCTTTGATATTCTTGGATGTTTATTAACAATGCCCATACTGATATAATCTAATAATGTTGAATCATCTTGTAATTTTTTTTCGAGAACAGTTGATACACAATCATACTGAATCGACACATTATCATCACCATCGTTGTTACTCATTGTTATTGGTATTAATTTCAATATATCGAGTTTTGTACAAGGCCAATAGGATATTAATATTTCCAATATCTGATATTCACAGTTAAAGATAGCTTCTTGAGCCATAGAATAGTAAATATTTATCGATAATAATTGCTGTTGAATACATGATAACAGAAAACATTCATTCTGAATTAAATTTCGAATGCACATCGAACGCAAACGTCTGAAACGTAAGTAAAATAGAATAAATTTCATCACCATATAAGTATAGTCAAGTTAAAATGGAGGATTTACAGGAATAAAAGTTAGGTTGGATGTGAGAAACAGAGTATATGGAAAACCTTGTTAAAGAAGTCTCGTGCAAAGCTGAAAATATGCAACACCTCAACTGCAATATGTCAGTTAAAATCTAACTTTTCGTTCTCGACTTAATGTGATTTCGACTTGTTTTCTCTCTCAAAATAATTATTAAAATAACAATTTTAACAGATTACTACGCATAATAACCGTTCGGTTATGAAAAAGGACAGCTATATGATAAAAATTGATAAAAAATTCCAGTTTCTAGATATAAACTTCAATTCTTCTCTTTCTTCGAAATAGCTGAATGTAATTGTAATTGTATAAAATTTCAATTAGTTATGTAACCTAGACAGATTTGATGATCACTACACAATTCTGAGCACTTTTCAAAAATTCAAAAATAGCAATCTTATACTTTATTCCCTTGACTTTAAAAGGATCTTAAAACTTCTAAATTGTTACGCTGAAAAATGTGTATATGGTAACAGGCTATATGATTTGACTGTGTTAAGATTTTCGTTTTTCTTTTAAATAGAAAAAATACGAAAATAAAATAATTTTTCTAATAAATTGCGCTTGCTTTTGAATCTTCGTTGTTTGTCAGCAAAATTTCTTTAAAATTAGATCAGTCGATGTAGTAAATCTCGTTGTTTGAGTGATATCATCGAATTGTGTTTGTGATGTCTATGCGAGGCGTTAAATCTATTTTACTTTAATGTTCGTTTGAGTATACGAATAATCGATCTTTTGAATATAATATCTATGTAACATCATGTGTTTCTAAGGATATCCTCCTTCCTTATTATCTACAGTTATGAATAAGATATTTATTATTTACTGTTTTGCAAAGTATGTTTCAAAACTAATCCTCTTTCGATCTTCTTTTAGCTTCTTCTTCTTTTACTCATCTAATTCTTGTGGCATTCAGGTGCCCTCTTGTGCCTGCATAATAGATATGCATCTTATTACTCTTCTATCAGATCAAGAACAAAGTCAAGGGATCGTGTGATGCATTACGTGCTTCATATTATCTTGTTTAAGTAGACAAGAAGAAATTATTTAATCAGTTTTATTTATTTCATTTTGGAAATCATTAATTAATTTAACAATTGTTTTTAGAAATTCTAAATCAATATTTATTTTTTTCGTAGTTTATCAATAATATCTGCTAAATATTCATAGTCTTTTAATGTATTATATATTTGCGTTGATATTCGAGCATAGAGCTCATTATTCACACATAATATTATTGCAACAAGTTGATAGTCTTTTATTAAATCATTTAACAATTTTAATGCATCATTTTCAGTCTTTTCATAATCATTTAGATCTGGTAAACGTATCATTTTTAAATAGGGTGCTTCCATGTCTTGAGGTATTTGTAATTGATCATCATCATGTCGTACATTCCATCGTTTTATTAACATTTCTTTTGCCGTTTGACTTAATTTTGTATTATATTCAAATATTTTCTCTTCACCACCACACAGTTGTTCAGAAAATTCAAATGCCTTTTCTACTGTAAGTAACGATGAACCATCTTTTGTACCTTGATTAAAAAACTGTAGATGAAAATGGGTATAGGATGTTAGAGTGGAATTTATCTTATATCCCCATGATGTATTTGCTGGTTGAATTAATTCAAGATAATCATCATTTTTGACATACAAAAATGAACAACCACGCGAAGCATAACACCATTTATGAAATGTACCAACAAAAAAATCACAATTTAACTTTGTTAACGAGAGATGTGGAACTTGTCCTGCTGCATGAGCCCCATCAATTAACACTAACATATTATAAGAATGAAACAATTCAATTAATTCCTCCATTGGAAATAGAAGAGCTGTAGAACTTGTAATATAATCCAATACCATTAAACACATTTCATCACTTCTTCTTTCATCCAAAAATGCTTTAAACTGTTGGATAAAATCTTGTTTTGATATAATTGGAAATTTGATATTAATCGTTTTCATTTGAATTTTTTGTTGCTTTGTTGCTTCTTCTATTGTGTATAAAACAGCACCATACGCTAAATTTGTGCACCATATTTCACGAAATGGTAACCCTGATTTTAATATAGCATTTATTCCAACAGTCGCATTTTCAACCAACGCTACATTGTTCATCGGACAATCTAAACGTTTTGATGCTAAATTTATATTTTTCATGTACAATTCGCAATTAAGTGAACGAAACCATAAATCGGGATTTTCTTCTTGAATATGACGCAATCTTTGTAATTCATCAAAGACATATTTCGGAGATGGTCCGTAGGAACCATGATTCGTATAGACGAACTGCTTATTAATTAAAAAATGGTCATGACGTGTTTTCTCACCGAATTCAATCATCTAAAAACGAGTTGGTCACTGAATGAACAACAGGTAGATTGTTGCTCTCTATTTTAGAATTCTAGTAATATGAAATGAAGTATAACAATAAGCATACATTTCTTTTCCCTAAATATTTTTATTGAACCTTTTGCTCTTAAACAGTATGCTACGATCATAGAAGTAGTTTTTTCTTACAATCATTAACACAATTGGGAATGAATCTTATCAACTTATTCGACATGACAGTACATAAAAGTTGTTATGACTTTTTTAGACAATGTCAGATAGCAATGAATAAATAGAAACAGAATTTTACACCAACATTAGTCTTAGAAGAAAATTATCTAAAAAATGAAAATAACATAAATAATTGTTTCTGTTTAGTTTCAATTTTAACTGCTACAATGATAAGCATAATATCATATTTTTGCACGTATCGATTTTTTACACCTTTAAATCTATGCTCAGAAACTACATATATTTATAAGGGTAACAAAAGAACAAACCATAACCACTCACTAAAGGTCACATGCTATACCAACCTCGGAGATTTTAATGGTTGATTATTCATTCCTCTAATTATTGAACATTTTCCATCATTTGTCTGTTGTAGTAGATAATAAAAATGGTTTTTAATACGAATTAATGGTTTTCTATCAGAATCATCAGTTTCACCCATTAAATCATACGATAAACTTGACATGGGACTATTTGGAACAAACGACATAACTGTAATTAACAAAAATTTTAGATTATATTTAAGTAATGAAATATCTCATCTCATTCTATCATATAGACGGTTAGTTAACATCGTCTGTTTGTTCTTCTACAAAAAAGCAAAAAAACTATAACATTATTAGGAAATAATTGTTTATTACATCACTCTCCATGTGTTTCTATTCTTCTTTCATGACGACGCAATATTTGTTGTCCTAGATATCTAGTGTATACACACAAGCGCATACAAAAAGATGTTCGTGTTCCTTTCTATTCGTTTGTCAGCTATACTGTAATGATTAATAACATATTCATCAATATCATTAGAATAATACTCCTTCTTCCTTAGCAAAAAGGAGGAATACACAACATAAGATAAAGTGTGTGTATGCATGCATTCTGAGTTTTATCGACATTCCAAAATCCTCAACAGAGAGAAATGATCAGATATATCTGCACTATATAATGGGTAGCAAAGAGAATATTT